CTCCTCTTTTTACATTTCAGTCATTCCCAAATTTGCTTCATAAACATGTATTATTTTCATAATCAGGAAAAGAGAAGTTTTTCTCAGTCCTATTCCTTCCTTTGAGGAAATTCACATGCATCATTACTCCCTTTCAAAAAAGCCATTTGGAAATATTTATTTAGAACCTTAAAAAACATTTACACCCAACAATCTCATAAATCCAATTCTGAGTTTCTATCCTAATGAAAAAACTCTAAATATTGAAAAAGCTTTGTACAACACGATGTTCATCACAACATTGTTTATGAGGACAACAGAAGCAAACAACATAAATGTCCAACACAGAGAGATGGTTAAGTAAACAATGATGCAGTCACTTGATGAGCCATTGTACAGCATTTTCAGATGCTTACAATGACTATTTAACAGGCTGGGAAAACAAACAAATAACAACAAAAAGGATATATATGACACACATAGTATCACAACAACACTGTATAAAATCCTATGCAGAGAAAGAAATATGGTTTTAAAACATACTGGCTGCATTTGGTAAAGAAACTAGAGAAAATATGCATGTTTTTCATCTATCTTTCTAAGCTGCCACATACTTTCTTTAGAGAATGAATATTACTTTAAGAGAAGAAAGAAAAAGTTGAGTCTCTCTGAGCAATGAAAACATTCCCAAATGACATGAGTATACTCCATCAGTTCCATCCTCCACCCCCCACATCTCCCCCAGTCTGAATTAGTGTGAGACAGAGAAGCCAAGGAAATGAGACCCCTTTCTGTGGCCTAGGGTCTTCTCAGTGGGGTCTCTGAACAAGAAGAGGGTTCCTCTGACCAGCTGCTGTCAAGAGCATTTTCCCTCCCCCAAGTCCTATTCCAGCCTGAACTAATTCACCACAATCCCCAGAGCTGGGAAAAAAATTTCCACCATGGTGATTTGGAACCTGATCTTTAGTCCCAGTTTTTCCCAGCCCCTCTCTGTGTCAAAGGAGGCCCCTTAAAACCTCTTAGACAACTAGCACCCAGGCCATTATAGCTCCCACATCAATGCTACACTTAGAGCAAAACCTCAGTTGTCAGTCATCAGCAGGGAAATGTGAGTGGAGGAGCCACCGCATAGACAGCCCCCAACACACAACCCCACCCTCTTGTGCTAGGAGCTTCCTTCTTAAGGGATATCCAGGGCTTTTTCTGGCGTCAGAATGTTCAGCCTCAAATCTTAGTTTCAAATCTGTAATAAGCCAGCAAAGAGAAAAATTAGGGGTACAAATACACCAAAGGCAGACAGCTGTCCCTTCAGAGTCCTTAGAACCAACTCTCTGCCTATTCTCCTCTCTAAAGAAAGTCAAATACTAGCCAAAATACTAGTTTCTAAGAAACTTAGCATGGGTATTAGTCTAGTTGAGACCAAAACACAGGCTAGGGCTTTATCAGACCAGAGATGGCTCTCTTTCTACTATTAATGAAAGTAGCTTTAATAAGTGTCCTATTCCCCATATTGTCTATTGCCAATGAGAAAGGAGCTGCTGCTCCAACAAGAGAAGAAGGAAGGGTCCCAAAGAAACAGCATAACACAGCAGATTCACAACCTTTTTCACATCTGGGCACACCTAGAACATAATCCTATTTCTACAGTGTTGTTGGGTGCCACTGAGTCAATTCTGACTCCTAGTGACCCTATAGGACAGAGTAGAACTGCCCCAATAGGGTTTCCAAGGCTGTAAATCTTTACATAAGCAGACTGCCTCATCATTCTCCCAGGAGCAGCTAGTGAGTTTGAACTGCTGACCTTCTGATCAGTAATCAAGTACTTAATAACTGCACCACTAGGACTCCTTGTAGTGTAACAGAGTAAATGGTAGAGGCTATTTCCAACCACAGGGAACCAACTGGAGAAGTCAACCTCCCCTAGGGATGAAAGGATCGATATCTCAGCACACCTGTGACTCATCTGCATCACATATCACACAGCAGGAAAGCCCTGGATAGGGCACTGGGCTGGGATAGGATTCTTGGAATCCATGTCCTGAGCAAATCATCACATGGTCTGGGACCTAGAGCTCTCCAACCTGGTTGACAAGCCTGCAGGCCAAATCATGTGTCTGCATCAGAAAGCAGCCTAGGAGCCTGTGGTCTTGACTCAGCACTGATACAACTTCCCCTAGCCATGATATTTTTCAGGGGGGTTTCCTCAGCTAAATCAGGGTTGGGGAAGCTCTCCCTGACAGCAGCAGGCATATCCTGAGGCTGAGTATGCAGAATGGGGTAAGCAGCATCATCAGATTTCTGAGTTTAAAATCCTAGTTGTAGGAACACTAGTGATCTCAGGCCTGAGTCATTGCCGAGAGCAACAAACTTAAGAGCTACTATTCACTGAGCACATAGTAGATGCCAGACTCTGCTACCTAAGCACTTGACTTGCAATTTCTTATAAATCCACACAACGTCATGTGGCAAATACTATTATTATTTCCTTATAAGAAATGGAAACTGGGACTCAAGGAGATTAAGTAACTTGCCCAAGGTCAAACGCCTCTAACTGCACTATCGAAAAGCCAGTATTTGAGCCCACTTTGACTTGAAAGTCCATATGCTTAACCAGGACACTGGTATATTCCCTCAACAAACCCCTAAATAGTTTTTCCATAAACTAAATCCATCATAGTGAAGCTGACAATCTGGGAAAGAAAAAGGGGGAAAAGAGCAACTTTTTTAATGTTTCACACCATGAAAAAAAAGAAGCTAATGTACATTTAGTACCTATTAGGTGCCAAGCACCTTACATACATGGGCTCATCTAGTTTTCACAACCCACAAGGACAGGCATTATTAGTCCTATTTCATAAGTGAGGCAATCCAGGCTCAGAGAAGTTAAGAGATTTACTGAAACAGAGCCCTTGCTTTTTCCACCACTGTTCCATAAATACACCTGAGCCTGTTCCAGGGCCAAGCACTCAACTCACAGCCAGTACTGTTTGCAAAGGATAGCAGAGAGGACAACCTATCAAGAGTAGTGGAAAGCGGGAGCTTTAAGAGCTCCCAGAGAACTCAAAGCTCCAAGAAAGCATGATTTCCCTATGTTGGTAAATTGCCCTCCATCCCTGAGACAGCCAACTAGCCCTGACCTGCCCTACTCCAATCCTCAGCAGCAGCAGCTCAGGCACACAGAAACAAGACCAAAACAAAAGCCACGAGGAAACAAATCAAAACTTTATCCAGAAAGGCAGGCTTGTAAGTGGGTGGTCCAGTTTCCTGCTTGACTTGGGCTCTCTGGTGGGGAAGCAGGACACCACATGCATTTTGTGAATATTAAGCCATCAATTTGCCAACTCAACCAAGCTCCAATGAGGTACATGATGGACTTTGGCTCTGAGCTCTCACAACAGAAAGCCCCCACCTAAGCCAGCCCTCCACCCAGCCCACCTCAGACCATCCTTTTCCCTCTAATTTCTACGGCTAACTCATACCAGTTTGCTGGGGGTTTTCACACCCCCATTGGAGAGCAGATTCCCTCCCACTCTTTTCCCCAACAGTTGAGCTCTTGTTCTCAAGGGCATCAAGTCCCCAGTCTCCCCTCTGAGATGGCCACAGCACATTAGTAATCATTGACTCACCCCATACTCCTGAGGAGGCTGGGGAAATTCAGAGGGCTTCAGGATGTGTGGCCCAGATCCCTCTGCCCCTCTGCAGAGCTGGCGGGCAGAGAGGTGCCAGCAGCACCACTTCCCCTTGGAACACCACAGATCCTCTCTCAGTTGGCTCTGGTGCCAGTGGGCTGATGTCAGGCTCTTCACCATGGCAGAGGCCAGGATCTCTAGACAGCTCCACTGTTGCCAACAAATCTAATCTCTCTATTGCAAGGCAGATGAAATCCAATAAGGCTGCTAAGTCCACAATTTATCCCTCCTTACAGGCAAAGGCAAAGTTGGCCTTTCAGGCCATACCAACAATAACATCAGCATTAATACTGCCTCTTTGAGAATTATTTAGGGAACTGGGAACTATTTCCCCAAGTTTCTCAAAGGTTTACTTCTGTCATCGAATGTTCACTTTTTCTTTCTCCAAAACTTGATTTTTCAGTTCCAACATATTCTCTGGTTCCTTCCCAGTGATACCAGCTCAGATCCCCTCTACCCACAGAGCCACTGACATCAATGTCCAATTCCCACACCAAAGAAGAACCCCAAAGTCAGCTCTAAAAACCCATCTATACAGATCATTTGGAAGCTACAGTAACACTGAAAAGCAGCCCAGGCAAAAGAGCACAAATCAGCCACTAGGGCTTAACAGAGAGTGGGGGAAAAAAGGAGGCGGGATGGTTTGTGTATTGTTTCAATTGGAAAAATGCACTAGTAAAATTGCTTATCCACATGTTCAGCCTTTACAGCAAATCCACAGGACGCCTGCAGGCTTTATTCTGAAATAAGGAGAATGGCATCACGATTTATTCCATCCCCTTCAAAAGCTGCCAGCCCCCTCCCCACTCCCTCTCTCCACCTCAAACATCTGGTCTAGGCTGGGAGTGGGACCCACTCCCTGGGAAGCCTCCATGTTAACATCAAGGACGCTCTCCCTTACTTAGGCTGAGGAGTGGCCAGCCCTAAGTTTCAGAATCCCCTCATACCAGCAAGAAGAGGATTTAAGAATGAGAGAATTCTAGGGACTCGGGGCGACTGACGGAGAACTGAGGAGAGGTGCGAAGGGCAGCAGAAGGGGGAGAAAGGACGGAGCAGTCTGGATTAGGGGGGCCCTCCCGCACTGGGAGCCCTCCTCCTAAGTGTCCAGCGGTTGAGGCGTGGATCCTGAGAGACCCTCACCCTCACCCCAACGGGGCTGTCCGGCGGACCAGTGGCTGCCGTGAGTTTCTCGGGAAGACATCGAAGGCCAGGGTCTGTGGAGGGCCCCGACTGAGAGGTAGGCCGAACCGGGGAATCCGCACAAAGTCCCACCCGGGGTGTCGGGAACCGGAGGTGATAGGAAGGGGAAGGCGCCGAGCTCGGCTCTCTCACCAATACCAGGGCGAACCTCTCCTCCAGCTCACAGGGCTCAGGCATCGGCATCTTGCCGGGCGGCAGCAGCAGCGGAACAGACGGCGGCTCGCCCGGGCCCCCTTCGGCACTCTCCAGGTTGCCCATCCCGGCGGGGCCCCCTTGGGGGCCTCAGCCTCCCACCTCCAAGTTCGGGGGGCCTTGGGCTTGGCCGCTCGGACCTGGCTCCTCCTTCACCACCGGCTACCCCAGACCCGACTCCTCGACTCGGTCCCGGGCGTCCGGATCTACTCGGGGTCCCGCAGACGGCAGCGCTCAGCAAGGGCGGAGGCGGTGCGCACCGAAGCAACAAGCTCAGAAGCGGCCGGCTCTCGCTCACGCCCGCCGCCTCGCCGCTCTAGTCTCGCCGTCCCGGCGCTGCCCCTCCCCACGCCCCTGTGCTCTTTCCCTCCCCCTCCTCGCTTCCTCCCACCCACTCTCCGCTGGTACTCCGGCTCCCCCAGGCGAGCGCCTGCTGCAGTCCTCGACGCGCGCCCCATTCATGCAGGCCCCGCCTCCCGCCCCCAGGCCTCCCAGGCGGCCTGCCCCGCCCCCGCCTGCCCCCGATTGACAGCGACATCTGCCAATTACAATGCCTCCCGCCCTCTGCGGCCTCGCGCCTGGAGTTGATCGCACCCTAGTGGCCGGGATGAGCATCGAGTCGCCTGGGTTGTTGAGCCGAGTTGAGGCGCGGGAGTGGGCGCCCGGAAATAAGTCCGCGCCCTTTTTCACAAAAACCTCACAATGTAAGAAAATAAGTATAGGACACTGTGCAAAGCCAGCTGAAAGAGAAGTAGAAATTATTAGGATACTCAGAAAAGAGACTCAGGTACTAAGGTAAGAGCAGAGACAGGTAAAAGAGCTAGGTTGACTGATGGGTCATCATTAATGATACGGTGGACATCTATTATTTCTGCCAGCTTAGCGCTCCGCAGGTCCGTCCACCTTCTTCCAGTGATAGCACCTCATTTACTTTTAGGGAACCAAATCTCCCCTGTTCTCAGACCAAGTGGAGCTGAATTTACCCCCATTCCCTGGGGCCCCATGACTCAGGCTGAACAATCACCGAATTTTCTTACCCTACCTCAGAGATTGTATTTAGGGATTGACATTTGACCCAAGGCCAGATTGTAAGTCTCATTTCTAAGACTTTTATAATCAGGAAAGAAACTTTTTCTTTCCATCAGAATTGCTGAATTGTTCATATGTAAACCTGGAGCTACCAGTAGCCATCTTGCCATCACATCATTTCTCAAACTTTCTTGTTAATGAAGCCAGTGTAGAGGATAACAAAGCTAAGAGATAGCATTCTAATGACATGCTATTCGATCTACCATATCTGAATTTATCACTTAGACTTTTCATTAATTAAAAAAAAAAACCAACTCACTGCCATCTAGTCAATTCTGACTCATAGCGACCCCCGTTGGGTTTCTGAGGTGGTAAATCTTTACAGCAGTACATTGCCCCATCTCCCTTCTGCAGAGAGGCTGGTGAGTTTAAACCACCAACCTCTCGTTAGCAGTCAAATGCCTTAGGCACTATGCCACCAGAGCTCCTTCATTAATTTAGTCAACACATATTTATTGGAAAGCATATGTCAGATATTATTCTAGGCATTGGAGATACATTTGTGAACAAAAGGGGTATACATTTTACCCTCATGGAATTTACATTTTGCGCAGGAAGGGAGGTAGACGATAAACCAAATAAGTAAAATATATAGATGGTAGTGACCATTGCTAATAAAAATAAAACTGGAAAGGGAATAGAAGTGGGAGAGGAGTTACCACTTTAAATAGGATGATCAAGGAAGGTCTCCCTAATAAGGCAACATTTGGGTAAAGATCTGAAGGAAGTGAAGGAGTAAGCCATGTGGATATCTGGAATGGTCCAGGCAAAGGAAATGGCAAGTGCAGAGCATGCCTAATATGTTGTAGAAACAGCAGAGGAGTCAGTGAGACTGGGATACATGTCCTACACATGGTGTAGGACATTGTAGGCTATTGTAAGAACTTTATTTTCCTCTGAATAGGATAGGTAACCCCTGGAGAGTTTTTTGCTGAGGAGTGACGTGAACTGACTTATGTTTTGACAGGATTACTCTGGCTCTTGCATTAAAAATAGACAGAATAGAGGCATGGATGGGAAGACCAATTAGGAGGCCATGACAATAATTCAGGTGAGAGATGATGGTGGTTTGGCATAGGGTAGTAGCTGTAGAAATAGAGAGAAATGGTCAGATTAAAGTAGCATCAATAGAATTTCTTGACCATTTGAATGAAAGTGATAACCCCAAATTATTTGACCTGAGCAATTGGAAGGATGGTGTCTTCATTAACTGAAATAGGGGAAGATTATGGGAGGGGCCAGTTTGATGAGGGAGAGCTGAAAAGGGAAGGTCAGAAACAGGTTTTTGGCTCTGTTGAGTTTGACTTATCTATTGGATATCCAAGTAGAGGCATTCACTAGGCAATCAGATATATATGAGTCTAGAGATCCAGGCTGGCAACATGAAATTGTAAATCACCAGCATATAGATAGATGCTATTTAAACTCTTTGAGTTGGGGTTCTGCTATTTACAACAAGAAAAAAAGAAGTGAAATCCTTGTCTCTCCAGACCATAAAATCTTCTCCTATGAAGCGCCACCTCTTCCAGCCAGTTGGACAATCAATCAACACACAGTACCCTCTTCCCTTCCTTCTGCCCTAAACACACAAACACACACTCTCCCAGCTGCTGTAGCAGACTCTCTAGAGCAGAGGGGTTATGAGAAAGCTGAAGACTTCTACTAGACAAAAATATAGTAATTCAAGAGAGGAAATAATTCATCAGGCATTTATCCTGAATGCTCAAGGAACATCTAGCAGAAAGAAGAGACTTCATAGGACAGTAAACAGCAGTGTATTTACTCTTGTATGGTCTCTTGGTCCCTAAACTTTTATTTTTGTTTTTGCTTGCCTCAGGCTTAACCTCCAAATTTGTATACAGTACTCCAGAGTCTTCTGGGGTTTGCTAGAGTTACTGCTTTCATTGTTAACTTCTTGCTCACATACCTTCAATGCAACCCTACTTCCTAAAGGATAAAACTAAAACTTCCTAATCTGATATTTAAGGCTCTGTATGATCTCCAAAGTTCAATACCTCTCCAATGTGCTTTTCCTGGCTCTAATCTTTCAAATTAACCCTTTGCTTCAGCTGTTGGAAAAATCCATGTCCAAATAGTAGATGCTCATTTTTATGTCTTCAGCTTTGCTCTTTGTGGTAGATAGAACAAGAGCCTTCCAAAGATGTCCACATTCTAAACCCTAAAAGCTGTGAATGTGTTATCTTTCATGCAAAAGGGACTTTGTTGATGTGATTTAAGAAAGGGTCTTGAGATGGGAAGATTATACTCAATTATCCATATGCGCCCAAGGTAATTAGAAGGGTATTTGAGAGAAAAAGAATTGTGATGATAGAAGCAGAAGTTGGAGTTATATGTGGCCACAAGCCAAGGAATGTGGCAGCATCTAGAAAGTGTGAGGATGGCACAGGACTGGGCAGTGTTTCATTCTGTTGTACATAAGATCAGTATGAGTCAGAACCGATGCAACAGCACCTAACAACAGCAACAGAAAGTGGAAAAGGCCATGATTCTCCTCTAGAGCCTCCAGAAGGAATACAGCCCTGCTAACGCTTTCAGTTTAGCTCCGGAAGACCCATTCTCAGACTTTGACTTCCAGAACTGTAAGATAATTGCTTTGTGTTGTTTTAAGCCACTAAATTTGTGATAATTTGTTATCCAAACAATAGGAAACTAACCTAATTCTGCTGTGTCCCTAATCTGGATCCCTACTTCCTTCTACCCCACCTATCCAAATCCCACCCAGCTCAGCATAATCTTTAGTTTTTAACAAAATTCAACAAACAATTATTGAGTACTGTCATGTGCAAAGCATCTGGCTACTGACCAGAGAAAGAATACAGGACACAAAAATAAACTTGAGACACCCTGACTTCAAAGGAGTTCAGTCTGAGGCTGGCGAATCAGGTAGAGGAAGAGCAATATGAACCAAGTGTGAAGGCACCAGATGGGGTCACTGTTGTTACATTAGTGGGTGCCAGAATTTAAATCTCATCTTGGAGTTCCCCCAAATTTAAATGACCATAATTCATATTTTCCCTACTTTTCATTTGGAGCTTAATTCAACATTTATTAAGGGTCTTCTATATGCTAGAGACTGGCTAGGTGCTATGGAGGATATCCAGATATCCAGATATGTAACTCATGGCTCCTTAACTGCCTTATGTTGTTTAATTTTTTATGTATGTTTTGTCTGGGCTAGTGCCTAAGGCATTTGACTACTAACCAGAAGGCTGGCGGTTCAAACCCACCAGCCACTCCTTGGAAGGAAGGTTGGGCAATCTACTTCTGTAGTGATACTATCTCAGAAACCCAAGGAGGGGTGGCTATGAGTCAGATCCGACTCAACAGCAGTGAGGTTTGTTTGTTGTTTTTTTTTTTTTAATATGAGCTTATTTGTTTGTTTATTTAAGAAATATGTATTCAGTGCCTACTTGTTTCAAGTACTAAAAAAGTTTTAAGGATGAATAGGCATCTTTTTTCCAGGTGCTCACAGTCTAGTGGGAAAGAATCTCAAACTAATGTTTACAAAACAGTGTAATAAGTGTTGCAATAGAGAGGTATACTAAGTGCTACTGAGAGAACTGAGGATGTAATCGTAAAGAAAGGCTTCAGGCCTAAAGGATGAATAGATGTTCCAGCTGAAAAAGTGAGAATAGTATGATGAGAAGGGGATAAGAGGTGGGTGATCAAGAAGAGAAAAGGCATTCCTGAAAGGGAGGATAGTACTGGTGAAAATGGAGACCTATCAAAGAGCATGGAATGTTTGAGCAATGATAAGAATTTCAGTGAGGCTGAAGTGTAGGGTGTGCAGTGGGGGAACAGGAGAAAAGTTAAAAGGTAGGTCAAATGAAGTTCAAGAGGAGACTTGTGCTCAGCTGAGGAGTTTGCCCTTATCCTGTAGATAGTTCTGTGTCCTACACAAGTATTACATATGCTCTTTGGAAAAATTCCTTCCGCAGCATTTCAGAAAACAGAGAAGTCTACAGAAATAATATGGAGACAATAAGGGCCTGTCCAAATAGGACAGAGGAATGAAGAGAAGTAAAGTTGGGGAGAGAGAATCAATAAAACTTAGTTACCTATTAGATAATAGTGACATATTTGTACAGTACTTTATAATTTATAATATTTTTAATATATTTTATCTAATTTGATCTTTACAATTACAATAAGAGGGAG